TTTATTGGAGAGCAAGGGCAGCCTTTTCTTTCCACGCCATGAGCTCGACATTGTCAACATCGGCGCCAGGTGCTCAAATTGCTTTTCCGCTTCCGTCCACATTGCCTTCAGGAAGATTACCACGAATTGCACCTCATTCGCACATCAAAGGGATTGGATTGACATCTGAAGGATTCGCCGCCGTCGATGATGCAGGATTTATAGGTCAAACCAACGCTCGTGAGGTGCGCCTACATTTACCATCTATTTACTTAGTGTGACTTGCTATAGGCTTGCGGTGTGGTTGTCGATCTCATAAAATCACGAAGGTTCTCTGGGCGTGCCTTGTTGCTTGCTGGCGCACCTGGAACGGGAAAAACCGCGCTAGCTCTCGCGGTAGCTAAGGAATTGGGCACAAAGGTGCCGTTTTGTCCCATGGTTGGGTCAGAGGTCTACAGTACCGAGGTCAAGAAGACGGAAATGCTCGCAGAGGCATTTCGAAGGGCCATAGGTATGTCGTACGTCTTTTCGTGCCATCCTGCTCACGATTTACTGGCAGGACTCAGAATAAAAGAGACAAAAAATGTTTATGAGGGAGAAGTCACGGAAATCACGCCGACAGAGGCAGAGAATCCATTGAGCGGTTATGGAAAGACCGTTTCACACGTCGTCATTAGTCTGAAAACGGCAAAGGGGACGCAACAATTGCGCTTGGATCCTAGCATATATGAGGCTATTCTCAAGGAAAAGATCACAGTTGGCGATGTGATCTACATTGAACACCAAACTGGTGCCGTAAAGGTCTGTAAGTCTCTGTCGTCGTACCTCCTTCTTACACATGCATCAGCGTGTTGGGCGTTCAGACGCGTACGCTTCCGCTTACGACCTCGAATCGGAGACATATGTCCCTCTCCCAAAGGGCAATGTACATAAGCTCAAAGAGCTCGTGCAAGATGTCACTCTCGGCGACATCGATGCTGCGAATGCGCGGCCTCAGGGTGGTCAAGACATTATGAGCGTTATGGGCTCCCTCGTAAAGTCCGGCCGCACAGAAATTACTGAAAAGCTTCGACGCGAGGTCAACAAGGTTGTCCAAGGATACATCGAGCAGGGCGTCGCAGAGGTGGTGCCCGGAGTCGTGTTTATTGACGAGGTCCACATGTTGGATATCGAGTGCTTTACGTATTTGAATGCGTTGCTCGAGTCTCCCATGGCGCCGACTGTGATTCTGGCCACGAATCGTGGGCAGTCGCTTGTACGAGGAACATCGGATATGGTTTCTCCTCACGGTATACCGACGGACCTTCTCGATCGGTATGTGCAACATTTTGTATATTATTAATACCGCATTTGCTTGATTTCGCCATAGATGCCTGATCGTGAAGACGGACGGCTATACACGGGATCAAATCGGAAGAGTTATTCAACTGCGCGCCACCGTCGAAGGATTGAAACTCGGTGATGGTGTTCTCGACCGGTTGGCATCCGAGGGGGAGAAGAGTTCGCTACGGTAGGCAGTGTGCTCAGTATTCGAGCACTTATACTCATTGCTTTTGCTACTAGATATGCGCTGCAGCTACTGACGCCTGCGTCGATATTGGCGCAACTGGCCGGCCGAAGGCAGATTGAATTGGAGGATATCGGGGAAATGAGAGAGCTGTTTTTGGATGCAAAAACGAGTGTGAGCATCCTTGCAAATGGAGAGCTTAAGGGTTTGTAGTAGTCTAGGTGTACTTGGACGTCTGCCGAAGTCCAGACACTCACCTATACTGTATGTCATTCAAGTCTGCGAATTTTACATCCATTCATTCTTCTACAGTTCTCAAGCGAAAATCTTCGAATTGCGAGTAGTGGATCTCAGAACTCATGTAAGGATCGGTGCGTCTGCCCGACCCAGATTCGCGAGATGTTTTGTGCGCTCTGCTTCAGGCAATAGGCCTGTGCGCCATTGTGCTCAGACGATTTGATTGGGCGTGGGGGGCGTTGACCATTCATCCAGGCACGAGATGAACTTATCAAAAGTGTAGGCGGATAGCTCAGACCGTGGCACCAGGAAGTTGGGCTAGTACTGTAGCCAGGGCCCTGCCATTGTTCTTCGGGCAGAGCTGAAATCCCTGCGAGGCGCATATGTCATCCATTGGGTGATTTCGCCATCGCTTGTGGCCATTGCTTTCAGCGTAGTGTTCCTGTTCTGCCGCCGTTCTGCCGCCAGGACTACCACCACCAATCGCGACGCCTACCCCCATACCTATCGCCACTCCTGCCGCCAACTGAATTCCTACTGCCACTACTATGTTCTTAGCACAACCAAAGACCGAAATGAAGTATAAAACCCTCTCGACTTCCACCCCATCCATCCTTACTCAACTAAGTAACTAAACCGATAACACTAGAACTTAATGTGAAAATCTTCGTGTTCTCCCATCTAATCTCGTTGCTGTCGACTTGTGTCTTTCCTGAGGAAACAGCATGCCCTTCCCCGCCCGTGTCAAGGTCTGTGAAAACTATTGCATCTTTCAGTCGTATCGATACCACCTGTCCAACATCTTCAGGTCTATAAGCTCGGAAACAGTCTATTCGGACGGAACGTCGATGTTCTAGCTGGTGCGGGTGTTTGACAGAATGCACCTTCGTATTCCTTTCATTCAATACGAAACCTAATTCGTACTTCATAGGATGTAAGTGTCGTCAATACTCGCTCGGCGTCCCCTTATGGCGCTGTTTAGGGTTTTTTGTAATCGTGCAACCGTTGTTTCGAAGTCGTCGAATATACTTTTCACTAAGCGATATTTTCGTTGAAGCATGATGGACCGTTGCGCTATGACGAGGCCTCAGTGTTGAGCGCCTGCTTGGCGCATGCACGACGAGTACCCGGAACTCTACATCAAACCGGCTGTCTCGTAAGATGTCGCTCACACTCAGGCTACCCCGACAGCCTACAGTCGCAGAACAACTACATCGAAAACATAAATTTAAGTTAAAGTAAGTACGAGACAGAAGGCGAAATCATGGAGCGCTCAGCCATAATGTACCTCTATGGGATGGCCAGAGAGGTGGCGTGCAGCGATGAACTGCCGGACAGAAGTTGACCTCCGGTGGCTGTGAAAGCGAAGGGTGTGCAACACCGGTAACACATTCATTACTATTCCCTCAGCAACCTTCTCCAGAGCAAGTGCAATGTGGGGCCCCACTGGTCTTGCGCCAGAGACATCGAGCGACTTCACAGAGACAAACGGGCGGAGGAGCTCTACCCACTCTGCAGGTTCCATGCTGTCCTGCAGACCGGGCTGTAGGTGATCCATGGAGATATCAAGCTGCCCTACTTCAGAGAAGAGAGGCAGCTGATTGCATATCTGTGCCACAGACGACACCTGCCAATCCAGCTCCTTGCACAAGATTCGTAGGGAAAAGGATTCACAAAGCTGGTTCATCGCCCCTGGTGAATAAAGGGAGACAAGAACGGCGTCAGAGCTAAAGTATATGTTTGCTCGAACGGGCGGCCCGAGGCTTCTTGTGTGGTGGGAAAACATAGAAAGTTGTGGGATGTCGAAGATGAGCTGGTTGAAGTACGTTATACCGACGTGTTCAAGAAGGGGGACTTCGATCCGCATTAGAAGGTCTTCTAAATACTCGCTGACGCCTTGGAAGCTGAATTGGGTTAGAGCCGGGAGAGTGGCACGTGTGGGCAGTGTTTGAAGCCGGTCGGAGCGGAAAATTGGGGAGTGGAATCCAATGGCAAGCCATTCGAGCTTGACTAGTGAGGATAGGCGAGCAACCATCACCTCCGGTGATATGTTCCCGGCATTTGGTACCCTCCAAAGTCGCAGAGAGACGAGGTCACTGGAGGACAAAAGAAGTCGCGGCAACGCCGGAAAGGTGATGCCATCCAAGGAAATAATCTGTACACGTGGGGCAGATCCACCGAGGAAGTCGCTGGGGAAGATGGGAGTGGTCCCATCTGCGGCACGAAGCCGAAGATACGTCAGTGATGAAAATCGTTTCCCCATCACGGTGACTAGTTTTCTCGACAGCGAGCTCGTCAAGATTACCTCAACTCTGGACACACGATCGGGGTCCTCGAGCGCGGCTATGATGTTATCCTCGTCCTCGGGAGTAGGGGGCTTAAATTCCACGTGGTCCCAGTAGTTAACAATAACCGGGAACGATGGCCAATAACCCAGGGCCTTCTTCACGGGTGTTCCATATGTGCAGAGAACTCGCAGATCCAGACGTTTTGGAGACGCAAATATAACAAGTCGCCACCTTCTGCAGGTATGCACTAGTGCATGCCATGACCATGAATGGTCCCAAGGTTCCATGACAGCGACACGATAGAAATGGAAAATTTCCAGGAGGATATCATCGGAGAGCACGTCGATCGTTATGTGGTGGCGAATTTGGTCTGCACCACAAATCAACACATAAGTAATTGTCACTATTCGCACTGAGGAGCAGAACAAGACTTACGTTGATTCCGTTGCTTACTTGCTTTTTTACGGAGACGAGCAACGTCCTTACCCGTACCCTTAGCTGAGCTGCACAAAGGGCCATCTACTGGCATGAGCCTGAGAGAGACACCATAGGTCGACTTAACAACGATATGATTACTTCGTTGGATGGGCTCTTGAGGGTGCCTAGAAATTGGAGACAAGTGAATGCTTTATGAGCTACTTCAAAGGTGGGGAGAGCAATGGTTCTCAGACATACCGAGATGAGGGCATGGGTAGATTGTAAGGACTCAGTCGGTGCTGAGCACTTGGAGTCCTGAGAGTTGCGATAATTGGGGGCAGTGCTTGCTTACATCCGTCATCCCACTATGTGAAATCGTCCAGGGCTGGAGGGACTTTCAAAGTCAGGTGAGAGTAGTGTGTGACGCAAAGCAGGAAGGCAGGAGACGTCAAACAAGGGCTGGGGTGACTACTGGTGTGTCTGGAATCTAGTGGGCCTTGTGCAGCACTTGTGAGAAAGTGAGAAAGGGAAGAATCGGTCACGCGGTCACATTTCACAAGGTAAAAAAAGACTGCATTGTCCGGGAATTGAACCCGGGGCGGATCGAATTTGCAGCGGTGGCAACGATCCAGGTTACCACTACCCCAACAATGCCTTGACACGTTGCTCTGCCCATTTGCTATGAGAGAGCCTAACTCTGGGGGCCAAAAGCGTCTGAGATCTGAGCCTTTGATCTGAGCCTTTGTAGCTACGAGAACAAGGCATACGGAAGGACGCTCGAATTACAAGCCATGGCGCGTAAATTTTGGCGAGCATGTCGACATGGCCCTCGGTGATTACTGTGCGCTGAGGGAAGAAGACATGGAGGTATATTAGACCTCGCCCCTGCCTGTAAGTTAGCGGCACAAGAGCAGCGTTCCGCTCCTCACTGTTCACGTTCCCGTACGAAAGGATTCTCGAGGTCCTACTCATGCTTCGGGCTGACTGCAGTCCTCTGCAAGCGACTCTGCGGCGCCCGCAAAGAAGAGCTCAAATGCTCCCCCTATGCGAACGTAACCTCACTGCCAACTCCCGGCGCCGGCGCTCCCACCTATCTCCTGCTCAAAGGTGAGCGCTCACCCTACGCCCACACCTTCGCGCTGCACCTTTGTCTGCAACGTGACCAACATCAGCAGGAAGTCTTCTGAGATTGGCTACGTGAGTGCTTCCGAGTCCCTGTTCTGCCGAAGCGAAGGATCGACGCATCGAATATGAACGACGTTGCAACGGCCCCTGTCCGCCCCACTCCATTAACGCGGACCAAGGGGGGATGTTTCAATTAGACTATGACCCCCTACGTCGGGACACAAACCTATTGAGCCATAAAAAAGACAAGTAGGAGGGACTAAGAGGGTCATTGAGAAGGAATACGAGCTCAGAGCCCACCGTCCATCCAGTTGTGGCCGGATTGTACACATGTCACTGGCCGGGCTGTGCTAAATATGGCCGCACCGCTATTCGGTTCTGCACGTACTGTCAAGACGCTCAGTACCGGCTACGTCACTTGCGACTACATGGCTTCCCTTGTTCCTGAGCTCCTGTTTTTGCGGTGAGCGCTCAATCCTGCCCCAGGATCTGGCCTCCGGCGTCCAGCAAGCTGTCGAGTCTGAATTCGGGCAACATTACTTTGCAACGCACCGCCAGTCTTCATCTTCAAGCGCAAAGTGCCCGTCAGGCAAATGATGACCTGGTAGCGTGGTCCACTTGCTGCAACCCTACTTAATCCTATACTTCCCCAACAGAAGGATGCCGGATGCACGTTTCGTGCTGTTCAACGGCTTATGAGAGATAGCGAGGAGGTGCAACAGCTGCTCCTAACACACCTAGGTTTGAAGAAGGGCGTGTACGACGGACTCCGCAATGGAATCTATTGTCACATGAAGCACTGGCAGCTTGCAAACATGATTGGGCGTCTTGAGGAGGTGCGGTGTGTCTGGGGTCAGGTGGGGCACCTAGGGCCCCGACGGTGTCTGTGCCGCTTGCCGCCGGGGTCGAAATCTGAGCGGACAGTTCCAATTTTGTCGAACCATGGCGGCTTGTTTGTTGGTGCCGAGAATTGCATGCATTCTTGCGTTGCTGCGACGGACGTTGACCGTTGACCCAGAGTAGACGGACTGAATCCATTAGGAACTCATCGTCGTCGATAGAGTCGCGCGCGGGGATGCGGAAGGCATTCCGTGCTTTGCAGCTTACGTCGATCGCATGTGGCACCTCTCGTTGCAGTTCAGTTCAGGCAACCGGACTCACACTGGCAGTCGCACGTACCATGAGGTCTGTGGTATTTGGCCCGGGGGCAGAGGACGTCGTGGTCCCTGGCTTGGTGTCCCTGCCGGCTATCCTGTTTCGTGCCTGTTGAACGTTGAACGCCGCGTTTTCGTGTTGAACGCCGCATTCGTGTCCCGTCGCAACTTCATTCACTCTTCATTCCCCCGGGCGACTTCACTTCACTGCGTCCCCGCCTCATTGGCCATCCCTTACCATGGTCCGCCGCCATATATCTGATGACCTCAAGGAGACGGCACTGGCGATGTCTCTCCAAGGTATTGGTGATTCTGAAATCCGTGAATACACGGGAATCAGCGAGCGTTCCCTCAAGCGACTGCGACACACATATCGCAACACCGGTGCTGTCTCTGCCAAGCCAGATGTTGTAGGACGGCCACATATGCTCACTGCGATGGAGGTCAAGGTGAGTTGCGTGGCAATGCGTGTTTCTTATATTGGTCATTAATCACATCATATTAGTTTCTTTGTGATTGCGTGGCACGCCAACCCGACATGGCTCTCAGTGAGCTCCAGGCCGAGCTCCGTGAAGCGTGTGCTATCGACACATCAATACAGACAATAGCGCGGAGCCTGCAACGGGAGGGATATACTATGAAAACAGTGCGTCGTCAACATCTTTATTCGATCAGTGCTCATGGCTAATTGGCTATGTCTTGTACTGTAGGTCACACGCCCTGCTCTGGAGCAAAATAAACAAGACCGCGAAAATTTCAGAACTCTCATCGATACCCACTTTCGCCCTGAACAATTAATTTTTGCCAACGAGAGCCATTTCAATCGACTTCCTTTGAGGAGGCCGTATGCATGGTCCATACGTGGTGAGCGTGCGTCTCGGTACGAATGCTTTCTCCATGGCACCAAATATTCCATCTTGCCCGCCCTATCCCTCAATGGTATCCTACACCTTGAGGTCATCAAGAATACAATCACCAGCGAAGATTTCTTCCAATTCATTCAGGGGTTGCTCCCACACATGAATGAATGGCCTCTTCCCATGTCTGTTCTCGTCATCGACAACGTGTCTATTCACAAGGCTGCCGGGATCCGTGAAATGGTTGAGGAACGTGGTGCACGCCTGCTGTACCTCCCTTCCTATTCGCCGGACTTCAATCCAATCGAATTAGCATCTTCAACTATCCAGGCATGGGTGCGTGAAAATCGTGACCGCATCAACCAGGAGCTCGAGTCGGAGAATGGGGTTGTGGACAACATCTTCCAGGAGGCTGTGCACTCTGTCACAACAGAGCAGGCCAAGGGGTGGTTCACACACTGTGGATACCATAAACAAGATTGACATTACTTTTTTGTTTCTATACCCTGCAGACCAAAGTTCTTACGTGCCATACCATTGACCAGAATCAAAAAAAAATAGAGTTTCACTTTCTATACCCGACGAACTCTGGGGCCAAGCCAAGGCCGCGTGGCTTTCACTGGCAGGCCGGCGACGTTTGTATGATATTCACACCACCACAGAAACAACCGCGGCGAAATCATTTGGGCCCCCGGCGAGAGGGTTAGACGGTTTGCCTTCACCTTCTTTCATCCCCATGCGCAAGCCCGTGACAAGAAAGCCGTGCGGCGGAAATACCTTGACTGAAAGGGGTATCGGGTGAATGGTGGTATACTTTGGATGGTATCGGTTTGAAACAAGTAATAACGCTGGCGTGCAGTCGGCGGCGAAAGGATATCATAACGGACTAAAGATTTTATTGGTTTCGTGATTCAATTTCACTCCGTACTGAACTGATTTAAAAAACTACATTTGGAGCCAGTTACAAAAAAGGTGGCGGGAGCCCGAGTAAACGTCTGGCAGGGAGGAAAGCGTTTCTACATTGTCTAAAGGCCTGAAACGGGAGTGAAGACGCATTTATCAGCTCTAGAGTCTAGACGCAGACGTACAGTGGGGTTCGATAGGGACGACAGCAGATATAGGCGGTCCACACACCTGAACCTTATGAGATGCCCATCACCTTGCCGAAGCATGCATATAAATTTGAGAAGCGGGGCACGACACGAAGTAGAAAGTTCGGTCCGAAAGTGCATTTACTTGAGTACGCATGCACATGCATGCTCCATTCAGCTAGGCGCAGGCGTATGTTGAGGTGCGGGTGTCTGGCACGCTCACCTTGTCCAACACAGTAAGTGCCACTTACATATGACGTAGAGCTCTTCAGCACGGCAGGGTGCATCGCTTGAAAGAACCGAGTCCGTATCAATCAGAGTCACGTTTTGTGACATCGAGATATACGCAAACAAGGGAGGAGAACCACCGTCTCATTTCCTGTGCAGGGGAAAAGAAACTGTCGGTCGTTGATGTGTGCTCTGATGCACTGTGGGGAGGAAGCACAACCTACTTGGTGAGTGCTTTTTCGACTGCACATAATGTATCCGCACGAGCACCTTCATGACTTCCTTCATCATATCTTCGATACTTTGTTACAGAGCTGAACCGTACTGACGAGCTTCCTGCAAAGACCGATGATCCGAATGAGATGAGAAACAGTGATAAAGAAAGCAGGAGAGCGGTCTTGGTCTTGAGAGAGCCATCATCGCGGTTCCGCGCGCGATGATCACGTGCTTACACCTCGTCGTCTTTGGGCAGCGACGACGACCTTCACCTTCGCCTCCCATTCATGCTACTCAAACATGTGGCAAGGCTGGTCAACTGCAATGGGTGCTACTCAGCCCGTCATTTTGCTTCAGGTGCGCGTGTTCTCTACTTCAGGGATAACATATGACGGGTCAATACAGCCTCACCTGGGCCATCTCGCACGCGTCTCGTCAAGGACCTTAGACCGAGATCGGCGCAGGGCTATCCCCGTAACTCGACACACAAGCTACTTGAGGTGGCCCCGCGTGATAAATCGAGGTTCACACGAGACCCTGCTCCGCACTCATCGAGACGCGAGAAAAATTTGCACCGTGCTGCACGGCCAGCGGAGGAAAGAAGAGGACGTCCGCGCCACACGTCTCTGAGACACCGAAATGGCATCACAAGGGACAAGCGTAGGACCTGGAATGACGATGCTGAGGCGCAGGACTCTACTCGCTTTACGTCTCATACCAGTGACGAGTTTGACTTTTCAACAACACCCGAAGCACTGGATACACTTCCTTCCACATTCTCCTCTCCCCCACTCTCTTCTGGCCTTCTAAAATCCGTCCATGACCTACTAGGTCCCAATGCTTGCCCAACGCCAATTCAGTCCCTCTCACTAAAGCATCTGTTTATCACCCAACCCTCTGATGCATATCGAAGCTTCTTGTTGGCATCCGAGACAGGCTCGGGCAAGTCGCTCGCCTACCTCCTTCCGATGCTGCACAACCTC